ATCATCATCATCATCATCATCATCATCATCATCATCATCATCATCATCATCATCATCATCATCATTATCATTATCGCTGCTGCTCACATTTAATACAAAAAAGTAAAAATGACAAAGTATTACCTTGATAACAAGGTTCGGGCTTTAATAGTTAAAATGGTTTTTTAAAAACCCATCATCATCATCATCATCATCATCATCATCATCATCAGCATCATCATCATCATCATCATCACCATCATTATCATCATCATCATCATCAACACTACCATTATCATCATCGCTGCTGTTCACATTATATTTAATACTAAAAGTAAGAACTACAAAGCATTGCCTTGATGACAAAATATTTAATCGAAGTCCAACATCACAGTATCCCGAAAATCCAATTCTTGAGTGGGATGCATTTTTATTTTTTAAAGCAGTACTAATGTTATTATTAAGTACAAAATGTAGACTACCTTTCTTGGTCTCACTGGGGTTACATTGAGGAAGGGTAACAAGCTTCTGGTGTTTTCCGTCAAGGTTCAGAACAGGGCACGAGGTGGGAAAACCCTTGGCTTTAGCATGGAGACTTATCTGCGTCTGAATATCTGAGGAAAGAGTGGCTTGGTTGTTTTTTTTCTCTCGCTTTGAAATGTACGGTGGAAAGTACTAGTGGCGCCAATCCAGTTCTGTAAACCGTATAGACCAAAGCTATAAGCTAATCTAGGAGTTAACCATTTCAGTTTAGCTCTTTGAAATGCATTCGTAGCAGAAAGTACCATTTTTACTGTTACTAGTTGTGACTAAACTTATACATGCATAATCCAAAAAAAACGTCAGGGGGATACTAAGACCCTCATAAGATCATAAACTTTAGAAGTTGCCCTTGATACTTAACTTTTAAAAAATCACAGGCATAGACTCGCATTGCTTGATAGCATCGTATATATGTACAATTTAGCAGTTTACGTAAAAGAAAATACCTTTAAAAAAGTTAATTAGATCTTGTAGGTTTTTTAAAAAGTATCTGCGTTATTAACTTGGTTTCATTAACACATATGACCGTCGGGGTCGTTCCAAGGTCAGCATGTAGCTAGATAATTCGTTAACTTACCTATAACGTCAGCATTCAAGGAATCGATGGCATTAAGGACTTTGAATGAATAGCCCGCTGCACAAACAGAGGACAGCTGAGGTGGCAAAGATGACTCAGGAAGTACATGGACCAGGAATATCCGGTCATCGTAACTGCCCAACTCCTTGACTACGTTTACTTTCAAGCCGTACACCTCTAAGACAAGCGAGGGTACATCGTCGACTGAGAGAGTTGGTCTTTGGTACATGTTCCGTTTAGACCTAAAGTAAGATACAATGAATACAAAACAAAATGTATGGTGTGAGGCAACATTTAATTGAGCTTAACTGACATTTCATTGACCCTGGGTAATCGTTATTGTTTCTAGAACTCAATTGTAACGTTTTATTCGTTAATTCCTATTGACAAGTGGGGTTTTTTTTAATGCTTGCAGGTCACAGTTTCCAGTTGAGTGATCAACTTTAGGTTCCATTGTCCTACCAATTGCTATTAAATTTAGATTTTTTTGGTGAACTTTTTAGTCTGTTGCCCATAAAACAATACGCAGCCTATCTCTCTCTTTGACCTTCAGACTTGAGCCTCGTAGAACTGGCTAGTCCGAAGACAGTATGATCAGCGTAGACGTTGAGCGCGATAACAAATAAGAGTTATTCTTTATTGTGTAGCTACGGCACTAATAATATGACCTTATTTTGTTGCTTTGCAGATGCAGTGAAACTCTTACTAAAACATTTGTGTGGTTCTGGTCCAGACCTGTTCCCTTGACTTCGGTAGGCCTATGGAGATCAGATCCGGCCTTTTCGGAATAGCCAATTTTTCTACTACAGGTATGTTTTTCCTCAAATCACTTGAACTCGTACGGCCATCTCATCCCTTGTCATTCAGAAACAACTAAGGAAGTCGGGTCCAATCTCAGTTCTTGCTGCTGCACACCATCAAACTATCTGGTCTTTGGGGGAAAGGGAGTGGCGGGAGGGGAAGGGGGTTGGTGTCCTTTGTTTTACCTCCTTTATCATCTAGAATGAAGGTTCAATAATCTCGTCGTGGTTTAGTCTCCTCGTCACTCTCAATGTTCTTGTTAAGTCTGCCTGTTTAGTGCTTGCAACTCTTGAAGCTTATGACGGTTTTCTTCAAAGCTTTTTGGGCAACTGAAGACAATAATTGGATCATCCACCCAGAGCCCTTAGATCCGTCACTGACAAACTGATTCTTAGAACCCCAAAACAACATTACAAAACTTACAGCGAGCGTTCCTTTTTCTTCTTTGGTCCCCACGTGTGGAACAAACTCCCATAATATAGAATAAGGAGTACCATAACTATTCACATTTTCAAAAAAGCAGCTGAAGCATTAATTATTCCCAAATGCATATCTGTTATAACGATAAACTGTTATTCTTGCGTGTGTATGCCCGACCGTGAGACTGAAGTAATAGCGGGTGAGAATGAGAGAGAGAGAGAGAGAGA